AACATCTTTTCTTTCACATGGCAGCATATGTGGCATTAAAGAGGACTGTTGTTCTGCAGTAATAAGCCTCAGTCTATCCTGAATAAACTGTTTTACCCTTAGGTTATATAACGGATGTCCCGATACCAGATTCCTTCTAATCGAGTAGAAGTACCAGAAGCCTAGAGTAGAGTAGAAGTCTTCGCCGATACAGAGTAGAGTTAGGCAATTGTTTGCATTTGCAATATAATCGCTTTAACGAAACTTTTTCAAATTGCAGAGTTTAGTTACTTTACATTTCACAAGATTAAGACGCTAGATTTGTCACTCATGCCGTATAGGTGGCATTAATACACTTGAAGTGGATTTGTGGACAACGAAACGTGGAGCCAGCACACAGCACTGGTTCACACAAAGTTTACAGTACAACTACAACAGACTCTGGAAAATAAAGTTTTCAATGTCAGAGTAAAACATCTACATTCTTGTGCTTCATGCCGAGAAAAATCAAAACCAAATCACAATATTATATTTTAATAATTGCAGTTTTTTTTTTGTTAAATTGTTCAGCTCTAAATGCAAGCTTTTATTTCCTAACCTGCTAAGCCAACAAAGTCAGATTATTACCTTGGATCCAGCACAGCTTAGCTGCAGTAAAGGGGCATATTGAAAGCTGCAACTAGGGTAACATTAATAGATATATAGTATTGAGGACCATATGTTGACTTCCATTGATTTTCAGTCCTTTTCAACCCCTTCTATACCTTAAAACACATGTAAAGTTGTCTGTTTTGGAAAAATTTCAAAGTAGGGTTAATGATTAATGATTATTTTTTGCAAATCAATTAATCTGTTGATTTTTTTTTGATCATCTATTATTAATTGGATAGCCAAAGGTCGCTTAAAGAAGATTTTTTTACTAAATTAAACCAGGTGCAACTAAAACGTTTCCACTTGAGGAGTTCTGGATAGAGCATATTCACAGACGACAACGTTTTATCTTAAATGCAAAATTTCTATAAATTAGTTTTACATTTTTCATACAATTACTGCTCTAAGTGGGCCGCTCTGTCAGCTAAAGGCATGTTTTACAGTCTCTATACTCCATTTAACGATTAATCGATTACTAAATTAGCTGACAATTATTTCAATAATCGATTAATCACGATTAATTCCATTAATTCTTTCAGCCCTAGTTCAAAGATACTCATTCATAGTCTGCATTGGAGCCAATATATGAATATTTAAAACAGGACGTGAGAAAACAGAGAAGTTTGTGCTCCCTGAGTTCTGAGATATTAGTTATCAGGGTTTGGCCTCCTCAACGATACTATTTCTGTAATAAAACTAAAATAATTCACTTTTTCCTTACATCCTATGTTCACATTACAGCCCAAAGTGACAGTAAAGAATAAAGATCCAATTTTTTCAAATGCGACCCAAGCTACTTGGCTATGTGGTCCTAAACCCGATACGCATCTGATCTTTTCCAATGCCAGCTGTGTTTGTACGACATCCTGCTACTTGAAAATGGTAAGAAAACTACCGCCACAGAGGAGAATGTGGAGAGAAATCTTTCTTTTCGATCTTATTAAAAAGATAGCAATGTTTGAGCTCTATCTGCCTCTAAGCAGCACTCTGGGTCATACGACTCATTTAGAGAAGGATCCAACCTTCCCAAGATACATTGCTTTTTTTAAGAGCAGCCTGCACAGAGCATCAATACCCACCAAGTGCTGTATATTGACCTGAAAAATTATTTAAGATATCTCAAATAAAAAACAAAACGATGCAGTAAAAGCAAAATCTAGAAAATAAGCATCAATAAAGATCTTATTTCTTTGGCTTTGAATATTTAGCAGGGCATAATAAAATTAAATTCAGGAACTAATTGCCACACAACAATCCCACACAACAAAACCATAGCATAGCATACAGAGAATAAGAAGGCAACATTATGTTAGGAATCTAACAAAAAGAATTAAATCTGTAACAAACCTCTAGACACTGAGACCGCCCACTGTGCTGGTAATTGATTGCTGCGTCGACTATGTTTGACATCGCTACTCTAGAAGGCAGGATCAGAGCATCTCACGCACACACCACCATACACATTAACAGCTCACCCAGAGGTAGCAGACAGCAGGAAAGCCATGACTAATCAATCGTCCTCACAGCGGGAGTCGACAGGGTGACTGGAGGATTAAAGAGTTTCCCCTTGAGTTTCTAAAGTCGCATGCAGCTCTGTTGCACATCCATATACTTTGAAACAGTACGGATGCAACACACTTCAGCCCCTCCACTGTTACTGTACACCTGCTCTAATGTAACCTCTGTCTTTTAAAATGGAGCACAACGTAAACAGTGGGATAATCTTTGATATACATATGGGAATAACAATAATAAATAATATTGACCAACAATTAAAGAGTCACTTCCACAGCAGCACCATAAAACATCTGAGTCTCTGCCATAATTTAAATCCCCCCCCCCAAAAAAAAATCAAGCTGTGCCACTTATTAACTATTCATTTTGCTTCAGGACTCAGACGCTAAGAGAGAAACACTTCCAGAATACATTAATAAACACATTTTTCTGATCATTTCAAACACCATTTCAGAATGAAAGCTCCCTAAGAGCTCTTTCTACAACGTTTTGCCAACAGGACAATGTTGTGTATGCAATGCAGGTTGTTTTTCCTTCACCCCTGCATTTATTTCTTGTTTCAGATGCAAGGTACATAACCTCATATTTACATGCACAACATTCAAATACATGGATTATCTTCAAACTTTCTGATATAATTAAGGACCAAAGCTTTTTAGGGCAGCTAGGATTACCTAATTAGCTAAGGCTACTTTCACACTGCAGGCATTAATGCAAAATTCCCATTTTTTTTTGTGACATCCGATTCTTTTGCCTGGTCGTTCACATTTCAATATATGCGACTTGTACGTGATCTCCTATCTGAACTGCATTGATACAACTTAAGTGTCCTGCACGTGCAATAGAGGTCATAATGACGTCACAAGCAAGCATTCTGGGTTTATGGAAGTAAACGTGAATGGTAGTGCTGAATCGTATCTAGCGATCTTTCCCAACCTCATCTGACCTGTACCCCAGATCAGATGAATGCGACACAGGTCGCATTTGAAAAGATCAGATATGTATCGGATTAAGGAACACATAGCCCAATTGGATCTGTGTTGTTCAGAATGGAAAAAAAAATCGGATTTGGGGGTCACTTCAGGCTGCCCTGCGAATGAGGCCTTTGATATCTCAAAGTACAATCATAATCATAAAGATGTTTGTTGTTTTTTTTTTTTTTTTTTTTTTTTTTTTTTTTTTTTTTTTTTTTTTACAATTTTTAAAGCTAGAATTGTATACATGTCTTTCATATTTACCTAAAGATTTAAACCTAAAGAAAATCTGTCAAAACTATTTAGAGTTCCTTAATGAACTTCTAACAATAGCTTGCTAGAACTTTGGCCTATTCCTCCAGACAGAACTGGTCTAACTGGGTCAGCTTTGTTGATAAACACACCTTTTCAGCTCTGCAAACAACCTTCTATTGGACTAAGATTATAGCTTTGCCATGATTAATCAGTCATTAATCACTGATTCATTTTGCTAGCATGTTTAGCATCACTGTCTGAACTGGGTCTAAAGGCGGGCATACACTGTACCATTTTTCCAATCGTTGCACACATCTACAGGGTTTAAAAGTTCACAGCTCACGATGCATGTTTAACAATGTGCGACCCGACTATCTGATGCGATCTACCTGCTCCCACTGTACATCTAAAAAACACGTCGGAGTGAGATTTAGCTACTTAGACTTGTCTATCCCGAAGCTAAATGAGTAGATGACTAAACTGAAGCTCACTAGAGTGGAATGTGCTGTCTTGGCAGATTGTGCAATTTTGTGCTGAAAGCCCTAAAAACAGAGGGCGACGTATTTGGACAAAGACATGACTGAGCAAACGCGGCTACTACGGTCTGTCAATTTCACAGAAAGAACTCCATTTCACTCGTACCCCAGCCATGCTGCTGTGTTTTCATCCAAGAGGAAGAAGAAGAATCCTTGTTTGCCCAATGAGCCATTTGCTCACGACGGCCGACTGAATTAAATTTTTTTTTTTATTTCAATTAGATTTTCTCCCGACCTTATGATTCCTGATCGGGAGGCGGTCGTGAGTTGCTGATCGCCCCTCGTAACCCCCCGAACACTACACAACGCACGATCAGGCTGAAAGTTGGCCCAATTGAAAAATTCTTGCACGACTGGAAAATCGTCCCGAAAAGGGCAGAAAATCATACAGTATATGCTCGGCTTAAGCTTTAACTTGTATGATGTCCTTTATTTTCATATAATGTCCTTTTTCCAGGACCCTATCAAGTTCAAAACGAGCACCATTTTCTTGTCTGACAAAACAACCCCATATCATAATGATGCCACCTTCGTACCTCGGAGTTGGGATGGTGTTCTCATGTTGGCAATCATTGCTCCTTCTCCCTTTGAATGCTACCATGGTTACATGGCATTTGAATCAGTTCACTGTTCATAATGACCCTTTAATACCAGCCTTCATTTATTTCAGCCCCAAATCATTTCCTGCATCTGGAAATTGTACCTGGTGATAAAATGGACTCTTCCTGAAATCTTAGTCAATTTCTTTAGAATATATGCCATTATTCCACACATGGAAACCACATCTTTAAGGCGCTGTCATCAAATTTGTCCACCAATGTACCAGATGACATCGTCTGGACTTTCAAAAATTTATCAAAATCTTTAATTTGAAGAAAACAATAAATGAAATCTAGAAGAAATGTTTTGTTCAAATAATCAATAACCCTAATTGAATCAAATTTCAGAATTTACCAAAAGGTTTTGTGTTCTTTTCTTTAAATAAAGTGCATGCAAGCATATGACTTAGGAGAAAATATTTGAAAAAGGATAACAATTATCATGTCATGTTCAGTTAAAAAAAAGAAACAAATGCTCTAGATTTACTTACTGATCTCTGAGACCTTCACCGTCACAGGATTGGAGATCTTTTCCGCTACCTTGCGCCACTTCCGTCCTCCTCCGGTGCTGGGTCCTTCTTCCTCAATAAAAGCTCGGACCCGGCAGATGTAATTCCCTCCATCCTTGCCGGTCACACCCCTCACCCCCAGCCTGTACTCCCCCTTTCCGATCCTCTCCAGACTCGCCTCCCCTCTCCCTGCTCGTGCTCCATTCGAGGAAGTGTTGGAGATCACCAACCCGCTGTGATCCATACTGATGATTGTACTGTTATCGGCCAGCCAGGTCACCTCCAGGGAAATTGCAGCCAGGTTGTCAGCAAAAATGTTGCAGAAAAGGGAAAGGGTGTTGCCGGGTGACAATAGCAGGGACGGTGAAGATGTAGAGGTGGAAGAAGCTCTCACAGTGAGAGAATGGCCTTTGGACAGAAGGAAAGAGAATACAGATTAAAGTTGCAAAACAGACTGTTGAATTACACAACTCTATTGATAAACATACCAATTAGCAAGTGTTAAGAAAAAACAAAAAAGAAAAAAAAATGCAATCTTCACAATGTGTTTACAAAAAAATATGTTTCAACTTTTTCCCCCCAAACAAACTGCTACCTACATGGTTAGCAATAATAATAGCTCAGGTTGCTAGCCAATGGTTAGTGTAATACTAAAAATGGTGGCTATATGCTAGCATTATGGCAGCCATATCACTAGCTAAACAAAGAGTTAAGTGCTTAATTTAAATAAAACAATTATGGTTGCAGAGTTACTAAGCTTATTAAGCTTTTAGCTCAGTCACTAGCTTATCCCCTTGAACCCTACGGACCCACCGGCGGGTCCAGCTGCTACGTGACCTCGTAATTTTACCAAACCCCCAGTACTGATGTAAAAAACATATTTGGCACAGTTTGGTGACATTTATGGATAAATGTGCCAAAATGGCCTCTCCGCCTAAGAAATTTCTCACTAATACCATTCTAAAATAAATATGATTCATCTGATTGAGTCCAAATTTGGTATATTTTTACACAATATTTACATTTAAAAGTCTGTACTACTTTTTTGTGCTATAAATAATATTTTGGTAGTGTTTTGCAATGTTTATTTCAAAGAAAATTTTGGCGAGGTTCAAAAAATGCAAAATATTTTGTATTTTGTCCCTAATATTTCAGGCAGGGTCAAAGCTACAGGTGCTGACACCAGAAAACCATTCTATGACATCTTACCTTTACAGACGTACCAAAAGTTTCTTCTTAAATCTAATAGCTTTGAGGCTATAAGTTATTTACTTTTGTGTGTTTTTGTCAGGCAGAAATTTATTCATACCCCCTTAGGATGTAAGAGGTTATGCACTAGCTGAGTGGCTAAGAAGCTAAAGTGACTACACGATCTGTACTGCGAGGACGATCCGTACTAATGGCTCTTAGGAATATCTGCAAAAGATACTCATCAGTTCGCCATAATAACAGTACCTGAAGCACTGTTCTATTTATTTTCTATCCTTAAATCACAAAAGAATGCTAAACTACATCATACCAAAAATATCGAACAACTTTTGAGAGAACGAGATGCATCTTAGATCCTCTCTGTTAAATAGCTTGTTTGGCATCATCATCCGATATGCTCAAAGCAGTCTTGTACTATATACCATAAAAGTATTGAAGTAAATTGAAAGGCAAACAGAATTACTCAGAATTACTACATTTAGCCGGATGTACGGTAGAATCCCATTCCTGGAACAGGAAGTACACTAGTTAGGAAGGAAAGAAAGAAGTAATTTAGGTCTTTTTTATAAAGTCAAATTGAGAGCATCCCGATTGTATTTCTGGTTACACATGTGCAAATTAGCTAATACGGATCATGCCAGCAGCACAAATTGGGTAGTGACAATGCTTAAACCTTTTTTCGGCAACAAACTGCTATCCACATGGCCAACAATAACGATTGCTCAGGTTGCTAGCCAAGTGGTTAGCATAGTACTAAAAATGGAGGCTCTATGCTAGCATTATAGTAGCTGTATCACTAGCAGAGCTACAAGTAAAGTGCTTAATTTACATAAAAGCTAGCCTGATAAACCAGACTAAATGTAAGATTAAATGTGTAATTTAGTCTGGCCCCGATGAATGAGACATGGGAAGATTGTTGATAAGAACAACCCATTGTTTTCTCAAACCATGTCTGTGCCTATTGGCCAACGTCAACCAATTAGAGCAACTGACAGTGACATAGAAAGCGCGACAGGGGGGAGTGTAAACAAACAGCCTGTCGGTAAAACGGCGAATACGTCCTTCTTAAAAAATTAATGAGTGTAGAGCCTCTTCCTGCTCACGATTCAACTGCCTGGGGCATTGATCGAGGCTAGACCACTCGCAGGCAAAAATTATTTAGGCCGCTGACGGGTGGGGCTAGTTTACTAGGCTACATAAAAGCAGAACTTTACGCATTATGGTAGAAGGGTTACCAATTAAGTCGGCATTTTGGGAAGGCTCACTTTTGCTAAAGCTTAGTAACTAGCTTCTCTAGTTGGATAGCTGCTTAGCTATCCAACTAGAGTCATTGAATTAGTATTTTGCTTAAGGAATACAATTCATATTTAAGGGCCTAGTTAGCTTTTATAGGGTTCTCTTAGCTATCATTACGGATAAATCAAAGGTATATCACACAATTTAAGTTTAATTGAAGTGTCTATGTGATAAAAGAAAAATAAAGACCTAATCTAAGATTGTTATTTAAAAACGGTGACTGACCCAACTGGGACATGATGAAGGGCGGCCATTCCCTTTCCCATGGCTTTTCCTCAGCTAAGATGCTCAGGATGACATTTACAATCCTACCCATTGATTAAAAAAGGCCCCGCATATTAAAAATGTCAGTCTTTCTTGTGTATCTTCAAGCCATCAACCAGATCAAGGGTTTAAATATAGTCTCCACTAGCGACATCAACAGAGATGATATGGGAAAGAGTCTCTGTGTGGTGTCTGAAGAAAGACAAAAGGTACAAAGAAGACTGTGTTTAACTTTGCTCATCCTCTTTACCAAAGCCAGTAAGTCAATATGAAGTGACTGGGGCACAATGGATGCCAGTCCTAGACCTGTGTGTGCTGTTCATGTTTGGTTTCATTACAAACCACTGGGTGCTCTTCAGCATTTCAGAGGATATAAGGTAACCTAGAGAGATAAGAAGATATGGTCTCCACAGCAACTTCAGTGAATGACTGTCTGGGAAGGGCTTTTTATAGACAGGATAAGGCAGAAAGAAGGCCTTTTTTTAGGGTCATGAACCTCCTGGGAGTGGGCAAGATGGAGAGTGGAGAGAGACTCTGAAGAGGATCCCTTTAAAACAAAAGGAGCCACAAAACAGGCAGAGAACTCTCCCACGTCCCTCGCTCTTCTCACACTGTCTTCTAATGTTACTTCATTTCCAACTCATTAGCACAAAGAGCCATTCCTACCCATGGTAACCTTAAAATCAAGAGCAGGATCTGAAAACTATCTGTTGCAGAAACATTATGATAGCACATGTGTCTCACTCTGAAGATTTTTTAAGACATCCTTTGAAGACACGCCAGCCAGCTTTGATCTGTTTTAAGAAACAGAACTAAAAAGGTATTCAGACTTGAAGCGAAGGACAAATGGAGTCCAGGGAGTCCAATAAAGCACCGAGCATCAAGGCACAGACCTGCAGGAATTGATTTTTTTTTTTCCACCAAGCAATCGGCTTATGAGCAATGGACGTATGAGTCACCTTTTTTTCTTTTTTTGATGAGGTGCCATTCGACACAGATTGATTCTGCACAATGTCATTCAAGCAAGTTACAAATTAACTCTCCTTCTCTTTGTGTTCTTTCAGTACTCTTCTTTCACCCCACTCTGAAACCATCTGAGGATCCTGTATGTTAACACTGACAGTACTCTAACACACCCCAGGAGACAGATTACTTCTACACTGAGTGGTAGGGGCCAAAATAAACAGCAAAAAACACAGTCATTTATTCATCAGGATGCTAACTAAATTTATTGCCTTGTACAAAGAAAGCTGTAGTCAGGGGCAGAGTTCCCTATGCTTCAGGAAAATAAGTTAATCATCTATAGATAAAAATGAAAAACAAACAGTGATACTCAAACAGGTGCCAGAATTTTATATTGGAAATGTTCATATTATGCTCATTAGAAATGTGACAATTGCCTTTGCAAAAGGGCTCCAAATTTAATCCAACTGGAAAGAGAGCACCCCTAAACACCAATATTTCATTACATTACATTTTGCCAAAGATTTCTATTGGATTTGGGTCTAAATTGTGACTTCTTGCACATGGATTTGCACGTTTTATTGAAGCTTTGGCTGTATGTGTTGTATCATTATGCTAAAATGTGCAACTTTTACATTTTGTTCCCATAAATACAGTGAATGTAAAAGATTAAAGGTATTGCTCATGCAAAACGTAATAGAAAAAAGACTTTCCTCAACGAGAGGAATTCATTTGAATTATTCATGTAAAATTTGTCTTAAAAGAGCAAAACTGATAGATTTTAAGAGAACATTGCACTAAAATCTGTTCTGCAGAAACAGGCATCTTTCCTTTTCACACATTCTTCCCATTTGTTAAAGCCTGCTGCTTACATTACCCACAATTCAGCCTGACTGCCAACATTTGGGAATGAGATTCTCACACAAATTGTGTCTAATGTAGCCTAAAGCCTGAAGCAGCGATTAGGAGGCAGCTGCTAAGCTCAGGTTTTTTTTAACAAAAAACCATTTCAGACTCCATACTCAGTAGTTAACTGATATATAGATAGTTATAGAAACATCACAATGTAAACAAGGGATAGTTTCCTTACTTGTAGGAGTAACAGTAACTGTCCCCATCTCCTTCACGCTTGCCACAATCCTCGTCCACTTCCCTCCGCTTTCATGTGTCCATTCGGTCCCGTTGCATTCGTAAGTCCCTTGGTCAGACACGGTGACTCTGGAAATCACCAAACTGAACACGCCATTCCTGCCATTGACCAACCGTACTCCGCCGTCCAAGTAACGGCTGGAGTACTTTGAACCTGTGGTGACATCTCCCTGAGGTCCAAATGTGAGGATTTCCTCCGAAGTGGCGCCCTTTTTCATCAACCACGAGACGGAAAGGTAGGTTGGGTAGGTAAGCTCCCGGCTGACGTTGCAGGAAAGTGTGAGTTCGCTTCCCTCCGGGACACTGGAGGGTAGAGTCTCGGGGTACACCTTGAGGGTGTTGGGGATCACTAATGAGAAAAAAAAAAGAAACATTTTATGGTTAAATGAGCTGGATGTTTGAAAGATGAAAGACAATGAATACATTTAGGGATGAAAAACATAGAATACATTTCTAAATGAAAGAAAAACCTATGTAACCAAGGAGAGATTAAATCAGTAAAAAAAATAAATATTGTATTTTCTGGACTATAGGGCACACCGCACTATAACCCACGCCCGATAAATTTTTTGAAAAAACTGGAAATGTACATATATAAGCCACACAAGGCTATAAGCCGATTACATCAACTGAACTGTCCCACACCAAACCTGTAGGAACTAAGAAGAATGCTAGCTCCCGTTAGCTTGTTGGCTCTCAGCAGTAAGAGCTTTTAATGAAAGATGGGGCTTCTTTAGCTCTTTATTTCAGCTCTGCAGTAGTTGAACCCAGTCTCTTCATTGGTTTAGGTGGCTTTAATATGGCAAATAATTGTCCAAATGTGTGAAGTTGGGACATTTGCCATGCATGCTGCTAGAATTTTCTTGTGCTAAATGAAAATTAGCCCCTGAATCTTTCATTCCCAACTTTGACTTCCCCCCCTCTGGTGGTTAGGAAAAATGTACAGAAAAGCCGCAACTTCTAATAAGCCGAACGGTTCAAAGCGTGGCAAAAAAAGTAGGGGCTGATAGTCCGGAAAAATACAGTAAAAAAAATCAAAAAACTATTTACCTAAATTAATTCATTAATATTTTATTAATTATGTAATTTATAAATTATATATTTTGGAAAAAAAATAATATAAATTCCATAATCATTTAAAGTTTACTATATAATTGATAAACGATATATTTGAAACCAGGTGGTTTATTAAATGTAGGTCCCACCCTGTTTCAGGCCCTTGAATGCATCAATGCCCAGTTTCTTCCCCCATGTTAAATGTTTAAGAGGAACCATAAGGCAGGGTTACTAAGCTAAACTGAAGGGAGATTACTCAACATTTAGCCGTTAGAGTGAGATATCAAGCGGATGAAATAAAGAACCATTTAATATTATAATGGTAATGATGACCTCATAGATCTTTGCTTCATTAAACAACTTTCCATTTCATGTGGTGCAGTTATTCTACGTTATAGGGCTGGATAAAGAATTCAATGGTGAAAATAAGGCTGATTCATTTACTGTAATCTGACCACTTCAACTGCTTAAAGCAGAGACAAAGTGAAAAGTTTCAGGATAAAGAAGTACATTTCTGATTGACACACACCCAGGGGAGTGTTCAGGTAAACTCTCGCTTTCACTCCCAAACAACAGAATTCGTTCCTCTCTTTCATGCTGTGCTTCTTTTGTTTCTAATTTGCAGCTCAGGGTAATATTCAGGCGTTCAAACTGGTTTTTACAATGCAGTCTCTAGTACAGCAGAGCCAGATTTCTTTATCACTATAAGAACTCTAAAAAAAAAAAATACATCCTTTATGACTGTTTTCAGTTGAATCCACGTCTCATCGTTTCACAACAGGGAAAGTGGAGGAACAGACGGATTCTTTGATGATCGGAATGTGAGCAGTGGGGATATGGGGGGCTAATAATGCTGAATAGTAACCTCACAGTGGGGTTTGCATGTCAGCACACAAACTCCGCTTCATTATCTCCACCAACATATTTAGATTTTTAACACAATGTCGCAAACACAGAGGCAAAGAAATGAGTCATTTACTTTAAATTACTTATCTGAACACAATCCTCCATTGTTAGTTTAATACGTACCAACAAAAAAACATCATTTAGAGAAGATTGTAAAACAAACTTTTAGAGAAAACATTTTGGCAGTTATGATCTCTTCCGGTACTGGTGACTAAGTCAAGAAGAATCGAAACCCATTTCCACCATTTTTGAATATGTGATCTATGACTAGTAGGGTCAGCTCCAGACTTTCCGTTTTCTCACACAACCAGACATGCTTCCACATGTCTGGTTAAAACGAAATACAGTAAGTTAGTGACGATATATATGGCTGTAATATGGACAATAATGACTCAAAACACACAACTGCCACTTTTTGCCCTTATATTTATGTCATACATTCATTATATGATATAAATGTAAGGCAGTTATAAAATTGTTTGGCATCTTAGGGCTTTGACACAATTAAAATGTTTGCTTGACAAATAAAAACTACTCAAAGGGGTAACGACAAAACACCATTAAATCCACAGCTATGATAGATGGCTGAAAGAAGTCGACAGCCAGACCTCTGTGAAGGAGCGAACATTTGACAGGACATGTCATCGAAAAATTTATTTATGTGCAAGATAGCTTTTCTTTTTGCAGGCAAATTAGCCACACTTAGAGTTACTTTTACCTTACTATGATTTCTTCAACCACATTGTGAATTTCTGGCAAGGTTTTGTTTTTTAAACCTCTTCCTTTGGGAAACAAGCTCATTATTTTAACCCAATAAGAGTCCCAGCAGCTCCTAGAGATCTAAGATTCATCTCTTTATCCGTCCAGTTTGGAAGCAGATTTTAGTCATGTTGAAATTTTGCCCAACAAGAGGCAGATGGCTCTGAATAAGAACTACATAGTTGTGCATTGTTGGAAATGCACTGGTGGCACATTTACACCCCATATGAAGGACTGCTTTGGATGCTTTCAGTTTGAAGAAACAAGGAAATAGCCAGATCCCATAGATCTGACGATAGAACTAAAGACTTGCAGCTTGATGCAAACTTATTTAGCATATATGTGATCAGCTAAACCATCAAAAAGCAATACACCTAAGATATATTTTCTAAAAAGATTAATAAATATCCAATAAATTAAAGGCAAACTTAATGATATTGCCTTAAAGAATAAAAAGGGCTGGGGAAGGATGATTATAGTGAGGTTTTACAAATGCACCATTGTTCATTGTGAAAAAAGCATATTATTTAGCAAAAACTGTATTTGTCAAATAATGCCCAGAAATAGAAATAATGTAATATTTTTATATTAAAATTCTTTATTCTTCAAAATCTTTTGTCAATGTATTATGCATTTTAAAATATTGTGGTGAGCATTTATTATATGATAATAAATATCTAGTCAGGATAACAAATCATATAAAAAATACATTTGGGTGAATTGTGAGTTTTATTTTTAATATCTTTATTTTTTTATTTTTTTCAACTAGGCATTGGTTACTGCAGTATGTTTAGTGATATAAATCACACTTCTTTATGCAACTGTAGTCCTTAAGAAGTCTAGGCTAAATGATTGTTTTTAATCAAAGAATCTTTTGAATCAAGGATTTTATCATTATCGTATGGTAACATGGTCAAAATATTATGATAAGATTTTACGGCTATATCGCCCAGCCGTTTTGAAAAAATAAGTATAAATGCTGACATAATTCTCAGTATTTTTATTTGTAAAGTATTGGACTCCAAAATGCATTCAGCTGAATGTAGATAAAGAGAACAATGTGGCAATTTTCCTATTTCCTGAAGCAAACTGGATATATTTTATAAACATTTAGACATGTAGAAATTGAGCATAACCTTTTGAATGATTAATTAATAATGCTGATATACCAGTGTCTAAACTTTGGATTGTTGTGACAGTAATTTCTTTATCTTAAATTAAAGTAGTGTTATCTTGACTTTAATTTCTCATAACTGTTTTGTTTTCTCAGTTTTTATTTTTTTATTTTTTTATTTTTTATTTTTTTACATTTTTCTCAGAAATAAATGCTTGTTTTGATGAAAAAAAACTGTTTTAATCCTTATTGTATTGAGATATAAATACTTCTTGCTTGTTTTTCAAATTCTCTCTAGGACTGAAACAATTAATTGGATTAATTATGAATTATTGAAATAAGTCAACTAATTTAGTAATGGATTAATCATTAACTGGAGTATAGAGACTCTAAAACATGCCTTTAGCTGACAGAGTAACCCACTTGGTGCAATAACTATACCAAGATTGTAAAAAAACTATATAAACATTTTGCATTTAAGATAAAAAAAAAAGTTTTTATTCATCAATATGCTCAAAGTTTTAGTTTCACCTGGCTTAATTTCATTAAGTCTTCTTTAAGGAACCTTTGGCTAACCGAATATTAATGATCTGATTAATGGAAAAAAAAATTGATAAATTTGCTAAATAATTGTTAGTTGCAGCCCTAATTCTCACCTGAGCTTGGTTAACTTCAAGCTTTATCTGGTTATAATGAGACACCTGTATCACAAGCTTCTGATTTTAAGGTTAACATTTATATCATATATCTAAAAATGAGGTCACCTTCAGCTTAATTAATCTTGAAACATTTTACCACATTTTCAGGAATAGTAATATCTGTAGCTTTTGATCTAGATAGGATATCATCAATATTTCAAGAAGATAAATTTAAATAGTTTCATTATCTCCTCTTACTGAGATAAAAAAGACCTAAAACAATTTATATGTCATCTTATGATAGTACAATCTGGGGTTTAATTTACTTTAATAACTGTTTAGTTATTCATCTTGATCTCATATCTGGAGTTAGTTTTCACAGCTCAACAGCTTCATTATCTTAACAGCTCAGGGGGAACTTTCAGTACTTCTTCAATTAAGAAAGCAATACGGTCTAGAATGAAACAGGCATAGTTAATGATTTCAGAATAATTAACCCCTAAGCTTGATTTATTTAGCTGATCCTTTGACATTCTTATTTTGAAATCCTGGGATTTCAACCTTGACTAAGTGACGATGAGTCTCTCTTGACTCATAGGACCATGTTTACCTCTAACTATAAGAAACCAACCAATAGCAAATTCTTTAAAACATGAATATTAACATTATTGACTGATAATCCGGTCAGGTGTTGGTTAGAGTTTGTATTTTCTGACTAAACATGAATCTTATGAAGCCGTCATCAAACTTTTAATTACATTTTGTGATTGAACTTTGATGTTGGATGATCTACTTCATGAGTTTTCCAAGATGCTCGTGGAGGATGAGATTTAAAACGGGAGAAACAGGAAGAAGTCATTTTCAAAAGAAACCCGT